TTATTGGGGTTTTCTATGGAAAGGCAAGACAGGCCAGGGTAAAGAGCCTAGGATTGAGTAGTTTAAATAACTCCAGTGAATTTTGGCCTATAGAGATGGTCTCTTGCTGCCAGTACCTGGCCCTGGGATGATTAAGGCCTCCTTGAGCTGCACATGCCAGATAGAGGATGTATAGGTCTGGACTGGTTAGTTTGCACATCAAAGGCATGCTCCTTTCCAATCCTTTACTATATCCAAGAATTGGCTAGTCCCAGGAGGAGCAGTCTCTCCCCAGACAGAAAGATTCTTACAATGTCAAAACATCATAATATACAGAAAATTAAAGATATAAAAAATACACCTGCATATTCATGTGGCCTTCTAAATTCCCAGATAATGTCAGACCTTTTCACAGCCTACTATAGATATCTTATTCCCCATTTTTTTCTTTTAATTTTTTTGGTCTGCCCCTCATTTGCCCTATTTTCCCTACCTTAGTCAACCGTGTTATTAAACAATTGCTGCTGATTGTTGTCAATAAATGCCCTGGGGAAAGCCTGTCTACAGTGAGTAAGCTCTGAGTTATGCCAAATAAAGATGAGTCCCGCAAGTGAGGGCTTCTAGGGAGCTAATAGCCAGGTCAAATAGTAACAAATCTCTAGGAATAGGGATTTTTTAAAGAAGATACAAACCTATTTTTCCCCCTCCAGTGCCTGCTAGGTTTATGGTTTTCACAGCTTCTATAATTGTGAGTCTGTTGGTTTTTATGGCTACTGTGAAAATGGGGAGAGGAGAATGAGAATAGGGTGAGTTAAAATGCTAAAAAGCCTACTGTTCCTCCTGATATTCAGTGTTTTTCCTTGAATAAATTCTTCTCCTATTGTTGCAAGCTTTCAGTTAATTTCCAGAGTTCTGAAAATGTTGATTTTAAAAAATGTTGACAGTGTTCTCATTACTTTTATAGAAGAGCAGATATTTGAGATCCTTACTCTGTCATTTGGGAAGTGCTCTTCACCAGACTTCTTTTTTTTTTTAATAGTCTGGATGTGTTATCTTTAGAGCTATCACACCTTTCAGGTGATTAAATTGATATAAGGAAAACAATACAGCTTTTTTTTTTCAGTTTACATATTGTTTACATACTGTTGAATTAACCATTTCCAGGAATTACTCTGAACTTTATGATAACATACATTGAGTTTGAGATATTAAAATTGATCTGCCCTTGGTCACAAAGTAACAGACATAAGATACTTTTTCTCTATTTCTGTGCAACATGCATAGCTTCTCATCAATGTCTGCTACTAAAGATGAAAAATGGCCAGCCCCATAAAGCAGTTCTCCCTTATTCTTCAATGAGAGATGGACCCCCATTTCCTCTTCCTAGGTAATACGTATTTACCAACCTTCCAGAGATAATTGCTTTAGTTTTCCAGCTCAAAAGAGGGACTTGAAAAGTGAATATATCAAGTAAGGTAGATAAAAAGGTAGAAAGTGCCAAGAAAAGTAAGTGGGGCAAAAAATATTGAGATAATTTAGATTTCTGTGATATCTCTCAAACTATTCAGATCATTGCTTATTCCACATATGTTTAAGGCTAAGTCTATGTAAAATCTCTCTCTCTCTTAACCAAGGGTATAACTTGGTCTTTCCAAATAGAAAAGTAGAAATACTTCTGAAAATGAATCAATCAAAATTTCAAATTATTGCATTAGCTGAATTTAAATGAAAACTTCTCTAGAAAGCCCCATCATGGAATTGCCAGTGAAAGCAGCAGGAGGTGCCAAGCTGTTTGAGAGGACCTCAGGCATATTTAGACTTATTTGGCATTGGTATTTGTTTCTAATCACTCTGGGAAGTGGTGTAGTGGAAAATAAATCTGAGAGGAAGTGTGCCAGAACAGCCAAGGGAGACGCTGGGAACAGTCAAAGCAGGCTAAGCTGCATAGTTTCTGATATACCTTCAGGACACTCTGATATATCACTTAACAAAAGAGGGGCACTGTTTTCTTCCACTTCAGATTTTATGTTGGTTTGGAGATAGATTATCTCCACCAGCATTTAAAATGCATCATGTGCAAAAGATGCAAGGGAGTGGTTATCACTGGGTTATTGTGTATCTGTGCATTGTCAAGGGGAAATTTCCCTAACTGTGGTAAAAGTTCCAAGGCTTGGGTTTGATGAAGGATATATGAACAATGATTTGAAGGGGGAATGAAGACCATTTACCAATATACAAGTCATGTGGCTTTTGATCCTTTAAATTGTTCCCAGAAAAGATGCTTTTAATATTTTAAAAAATCATGTAAAATTGGTTTTAGAAGAACTGTTAAGATATCAGGTAGATTACTTTAATTTACCTAATAGTATCATTCAAAGTTGCATAGGTTTTTTAGTTTTGTCCCCAAAATGTAGATTTAAAAAGCTATAATTGTTTTGATATCTATGTACTGATACTGTCTGCTGTGTAGCAGAATGAAATGAGTCTGGGTCACACTTGGTTGAAAATATCATTCTATTTCTTCTTTACCATGACTCTTTGAACAAGTTATTTAACCTTCTGAATCTTAATTTCTCTTCTTTTAATCTGTATGTTTTAAGGACTAAATTTTATTAAATGAAAGTATTAGTATTAGTTTAGTTCTTGACATACAGTGGGCACTTTATAAAAGTTATTTTGAATCTGAATCTAATCTCTATCACTCTTCCCTCCTCATCTCCATGGACTATCTAAATGGCAAGTGGAAGTCCTTTTCTAAATCATCTTTGTAATAGCAGGATTATTAAATGGCCTTATTTACCACCAATTTTGTTTAGGAAGCACACTTCTTCCTCCAGCCCTTTGGAAAAGTAAGAAGAGTAGAAATGTGCATATATCCAATCTATACTAAGTTTTGGGAGTTAAGAAGACAAATATTTATTGGCATGTAACTCATACCGTTGACACATGCCTAGACCATGGTAGACTGTTCCATAAATAGTCTGCTTATGACTGGCTCAGCTTCAGGCTCCTTGTACATTGCTGATGGTTGAGTAATTTGCCTAAAGCAGTGGAGGAGACAGAATTTCAACTCCACTGTCTACCTCCAGAGACCATGTCCTTACTTACTGCTCAGGACTCTGTATGAAGGGTTTTAGTTGCTGATCCTTCAAATTCATGTGACCTGGATACACACAAGCAGTTTACTTCTAAAACAACTACGAATATGAAATGCATAGGACAAATCATACATTATCTAAATTAGTTTTAAATGTACATTTTCGAAAAAAATCAATGGCCAGCCAAGGTCGTTTGGTCATTTATGACTATTGCCCATTCCTTTACTCTCTAACTATATTTAAGAGCTTCTGGGAGGGGGGCGGGGATATACTTGGGTAATCTCTTGGGATTGGATGGTGAGATCTTAGGAACATCTCAACAACACAAGACAACCGCTAAATTGTTAAACTTGAGCCAGGAAGGAACATTTTACTTTTCTTGAGTTGGATGGGAAGGAAAATGAGAAGGAAGAGGAAGCCAGTGAGAAGCAAGAGCAGTTAGCGGGAAGGTGGGAGGTTGGGAGAATAGATGAGGTGCCAGCTAGAGAAGGGACCAAGATAGGACCCCTAAATCCCATTCTTGTCAGAAAAATTTTGAAAAAGTATATCTGAAAGATGAATTGTAAAATTTGAGCTATGCCACACCCTTCTAATCTTCCGAAATCTTTAATAAAACCTCCATTGTTCATACTGATCTGTGTATGATTTTTTAAAAGAAGGTAATATTTGTTTTAATTCTTTTGAAACCAGTAAAGTATATGAGTTCACAATTTGGTTGACACAGTGAGACACCAAGACAGTGCATGTGGAAGCAGATAGAAGATGAAGACAGAAGGGGATCGTGGGAACCTTTAACACTCCCACAAGTTGTGGGGCTGTGAGTTACAAGCAGCTTTAACTCAGAGCCATCCTTACTACAACTGCAAATGTGGTGTTTTGTCCCAGATTTTCTTTTCTGTAATGCCAGTCAAAACCCCTGCTTTAGCATGGTTCTGAGAGAGCTAATACTAAAGTTGTTCTCATTTTTTAGTGAATTCCTTAAAGGTTGAAATGATCACTTTCCTGTCTCAGTTCTCCTTTATAAAAAAATTTCTCTCACAATTCTAGTCAGAATCGCCAAGCATCTTTTCAGGCTCCGTTAGCATCTCTTTTCCTTTTAAATTCTGTATCTTTTTGCATCTCTCACCCAACAAAAGGGAGTCCTAAACAGCCTCATCTCTTTCTCTCAGATATGGTTAAGAGGCAAAAGCTTGTGCTGGGGCTCGAGGGCTTAGATTCAGGTTTTAGCTTCAGTTTCTACGTCTACAAAGTAGTGATCCGAGCTCTGTTCTGGTGAGGATTAAAAAAAATAAAGTGGGTAGCACTTTGTAAACTGTAAGTAGCTATAAAAATTTAGATATTATCTTAAAAGAAAAGGATAAAAAATATTTTAGTCAAAACATTTTCTGGATTGGACAAAATAACCCATCTCTTTTCCCTCATAAACCTTTTGGCATTGGAAAATGGATACTGGGGGAAATCTTATCTCCTTGGTGAGTGAATTGGCCTGGGCTTCAGTCTTTCACCCTTCTTTGAAGAAGGCTCAGAATCTTTGAATTTTTACTGAGATGACTGAAAAAGTAAGTTGCAAAGTGGGATGATGTGGAGTTCTGAGGAAGCACGAGGAAGCACAGCAGAAGGCAACTGACGTTTGTTAAGAGTTAACAGCTTACACTAATTTTTGATTCTTTCTTTATTCTTTGCCCAGTAAGATGTGATTTTATTTAAATGGATGTGAAAATATTTATTTGGAAAAACTATATTGTTCTAGTTATAAGAATTTATGTGTCAGGAAATATTTATCCTTTTGGAAATTGGGTGTTAACAGCCATTGTTAGTCATAGAAATATTAGTGCATGTAATATAATTAATCTGATTTATATATCTGCACAATTATTTGAAATTCACAGAATTTTAAAAATAAATCTTTCTTTTCACATTTAGAAATCTTCTGACATCTTCAGCTGCTCTGTGAAATCTACTATAATATGCTGTAAGTAAAGCGACTTTTCATCTTTTGGGGAGAGAATGTCTTGTTCTGCATTTGTCACATATATGCATCATCATGCCTTCCAGTTTTAGACCAAATGGATAAATGTCACATATTTTAAAGTAAATATGCAAACAACTTTCAATTATTTGTTTTCTTTCTTCATGAAAGTTTTCTTATTGGAGGCATAATTTCAGAGGTGCTTCCATAGCACCTTTTAAGGTTTTTAGAATAAATTAACAAAGTAGATGTAACGATCATGTGAATAAATATTCGATACTTTGGGGTATGAATAGTGCACTTGTCAGGATGTAGGATGTATAGAAGCACTGTTCCTAACTAGTGAATTTGCAATTGAGGAATAAAACGTTGAAGGGAGATGGCAAAATCTGGTAGGATACATTTGTGGTTTAAATAAAGTTTTCTTTAAAAATTTTTTTCACTTTGTAGAGATGTGAAAAGAAGTTTCTTCTCTCCTAGCTAAAAGGGAAAATATTTAGACACATGGGCCCCAAGAGCCATTTATGCTCAAAATATTTTCTCAAAGCCATGTTCAAAATATCTCTGGCATTATGAGGTCCTGGAAAACTCAGAGCGTATTCTTCTGATTAGACCTGGGATGGTGTCCTGGTGGCCCTGTCATCCTTCCCTCTACCTGGCTGAAGCACACTCTCTGTACAGTATGTGCAGTACTGTTTGGCTGCTGCTTCATCGCTAACTGAAGTCAGCGGCACATGTGAGCTGGCCTCAGGAGGCCTGGGCCCGTGGAACACTGTCTGAGTGGAGTTTTCCACTCGATGTTTGGTTTGGCCTGGTCCACGTGTTGTCTTGCCAGTCCTGCAAACTCCTCTCAGAAGTCAGTCATCCCGGGATGGGAAATATTCCTCATGCTGTTGTGAGAGAACTCTGATCTTTCACTATAAACCTAGTGGGATGTCTCTTGGCCAGACCAAAGTATCCAGAAGCCAGATTTTTTCCCTGCGAAGAACGTGTCTGCAGTGGATGGTGTTTTTACTAATAAAAGTATTTAGGGTTGTGCCGTGGGCCAGGTTTACCCACTTAAAAACGAGAAACTCATAAATGTAGTACTAAAAACTTAGAAATAACGGAGACAATGACTATTCCAGTTCAGCGGCCAAAGTAAAACATAAGGTATGGTACAGGATGTGAACTTAGAAACAGAATTGTGTGTTTAGGTCTATAGCCTTACAGAGTTAGCAACATGTTCTTCTATAAAATGAGCCTGACACATGGGTACACACAGCTGTGCCAAGGGCGTAGTGATTTTGGCACCAGCATAAGGGCCTGTCTCTCCCCTCAGCTCTCCTTCGCACCTGTGAGGATGGATTGCTTTTCATATTTCATCCCCGTGCCCAGATCTCTCATTCTTTTGATGCACGTGTATGTATGGCAAATGAAGTCCACAAGTTAAACCAACAGATATCTGTTTCCTTTTATCTGACGTTGTACTGGGCATGTAACTTATTACGGTTCAAAGGAAGTACACAGATCCTATGTCTACAGATCAATAAATTTTCACAGAGTGAACACACTCATATCACTACCACCCATGTCAAGAAATAGAACAATTGTTGGTACCCCAGGAACCCCTCTTGTGACCCTCACAGCCACTACCCACTCTTCCTCTCCATAAGTTATTTCCATTCATCCTCTTGAGGTTTATATAAATGGAATCATGCAGTATGATGATTTTTTGGGGTATGGTTTTGTTCAAAATTAAGTTTCTGGAATGCACCCATTTTATTGTAAATAGCAGTATTTTGTCGTTTTTCATCGTAGATAACCTTCCATTGTATGGATATAGCAAATTTTTTGGTCCACTCAACTCTAAATAGATTTTGGGTTGTTTCCAGTTTTGAACTATTATAGTACCGCTGTGATCATGTCTGTATAGTTTTTTAATGAACATAGGTGTGCATTTCTGTTAGCTATCAAAGTAAAAGTAGAATTGTTGAGCCATATGCTATGTATTTTTCAGTTGTAGAAAATATTACTGAAAGTTTTCCAAAATGGCGGTGTCACTTTGTGCTAATCATCAATGCATGAGAATTCCAGTTTCTCTACTATTGTCAGGCTTCCTAATTTTAGCTATTCATAGTTGTGAAGTGGTATACTGTTGTATTTCTCTAATGACTAATATGGTTGTATAATTTTTCATATGTTTAATGGTCATTTGTATGTGCCTCATCATCTTTTTAATGATTTTTCAAGTTTTCTATGGGCTTAATCTTTTTCTTATTTATTTGTAGGTGTTCTTTGGTTATTTGGAATCATTTCCTTTGTTGATTATATTTTCTCCCACTCTGTGCATTCCTACCATCATAATTTGGTCTTTTGATGAAGAAATGACTATGTGTGTGTGTATGTGTGTGTGTGTGTGTGTGTGTATGTGTGTCTGTGTGCATCCTGTATAGGAAATCCTTGTCTATTCCAAGGTTATGAATATCTTCTTCTATATTATATTCTAGAAGCTTTACTCTTCTCTCTTTTATATTTATATCTACAGTCCATCTAGAATTGATTTTTGAACGTGAAGTGAGATAGGTGTTAAGATAATTTTTTTCCATATGGAAACCAGTTGATTCAAAACCATATGTTGAGATGACATCCTTTCCTACACTGCTCTTCACCATCACCTTGTCATAAATCAAATGTCTATATATGCAGTTTTGAATTCTTGATTCTATTCCATTCATCTATTAGTCCATCTTTTTTTGCCATTACTTCATTCTTGTAATTACTGTAGTTTTATGATTTCCTAAATTGTAGTTCTCTAAATTTGTTCTACCTCATTTTGCATGAGCTGTTTTTGTCCTTTTGAATTTTCATATGTATGTTAGAATCAGCTTGCCGGTTTTCACAAATAAAACTTGCTGAGATATTTTTTTGGATTTCATTACGTTTAGATCAATTTGGAAAGAATGGACATCTACAAAATTGACTTTCAATCCATGAACATGAATTATTCCTTCACTTATTTGATCTTCTTTATTTTCTCTTAATAACATTTTTTTTCATTTTTCTACAAAGTCACACATATTTTGTTAGATTTATTCCTGGGTATTTGTTGTTTTTTGATGATTGTCATAGATTGGGTCTTTCAGAAGCAGATGAGAAGAAGTTTAGTGTACAGGCTATTTATAAGGGATCAATCCCTGTGGAAGGGAGGAAAAGGAAGCAAAACTGGACAGAGAAAGAAGTCAAACTGCATTGCAAGCCTGGAAAAGCCTTGGTTAACCCCACAAGGTGTGGGGAGCAAATACAGCCCATCACAGATATCTCTGGAGGGGCAGAAATTGTCAGACCTTTATACCCTGGCAGCAATCAGTCATTGGGTGTGGACTACCCCAGAAAGGTGTACTCTTGTGTGAGGTAGCTCTTTGCAGCTGAGGTACCCTTGAAGGAGCCCACAGAACTTCAAGAATCTGGAATAATAAACCCTTCTTTGGAGCAGGATCTGGGTGGTACCTCTCTATGTCCATCTCAGTCTACTTCCTGTGGTATGTCCATCACAGACTACTTCTTGTGTTGCTCAAATCCACTTCTTCAAGTACATTCTGGCAGCAGCTCCACCAGAATCTGATGACCTGTCTTCCTGGAGAAACTTAGAAGAGGAAGGCTCATAGGAAGACCTATAGCCCCCATCACTGCAGATTGTGTGGGGCTGCAACTGATACTCATTTTCTCCCTCTTCCATTATCCATCTTAGATTTCCCTCAAACTTAGTACTACCCCAGCTCATCTTAATGAATTGTCCTTAGGAGGCCGAGTTCCTAGTCTCCATGCTCTTGTCAGGCTAAAGTCTTTATACTTGTCACAACTAGGCAGAGAATCCCAGAGATGACCAAAAGTACCCAACGTCGCCATTACTGTAAAATAGGAATGCTACCTCTTTCTTACGCTCAGGGCCAATTATTCCTGTTAAGATGGTGATTCTTCTTGTCTGCTAGTCCCTGGTGGTGCTATAGCTTGGAGTTGAAAGGAACTATTGTTTTGTTCTGTGGTGAAAGTGTGCTCTCTTTAGAGATCAGGACCTCTAACCCTACAGAGCTCTGAGCTTTGGGGATGGGAATTCCAAAGTCCTTCAGTGGGTCATGGGGAGTGATGATAAGCAGGCCATCACATGCCCTGGTTCCCATGCTCATGTATTCTTCCTATTAGGTGCACATTACCACCAACAGTCCTTTAGTTCAATATATACACTGCTTCACAGAGGAGGGAATTCTGTCCTCATGGTGGATTGCCTCTAAACTGGCACATTGACTGTGACTTTCAGCAACAACAGGAGCTTTTTTGGTGGTGTAATATGTAATCCTAACTTTCTGTTGTCAGGGTCCACTCTTGTACCGCCTTTGATGTCAAAACGGGTCATCTGTTCTGATGCAATATTATGTAGGTCCCATGTGGTGGAGCAAATACTGTATAAGCGTTTACATCGTGGTGCTAGCTGAGGCTTGAAGTGCAGGAAAAACAAACCCATACCTAGAATATGTACCTATTTCTCTGAAATCAAGTCATTGGCCTTTGTAGGAAGTAAGAAGCCCATTTAGTAAACTTGGCCCCATATGGTGGAACTTGGCAGAACTCCTTGAGGAATAATGCCCTACTGGGGCTTAACCTTGGCCTCTGCTGCTCTGAGGTTGGGCATTCAGTGGCAGCAGTAGCTAAATCAGCCCCAGTCAGTGGGAGCTCACACAGTTGGGCCTCCATATCTTTCATCTCAGCCACTCCATTCATGTGCCTATTGTGGCTTTGTGGTGACATCACTGACACTGGCTAATGTCACCAGACTAGATCATTTTTTGTAGTTGGCTGTTTCGTGCCTCTCCTGCAGTGGAGGCTCTTTGATATGCTTTAACATGTGACACAAAGGTCTTCACACTTCGTGCTCGCTCCCATATGTGCATCCACATGTCTCTACCCCAGACCTCCTTGTCTCTATCTTCCAATCTTTCTGCTTTTAGGCTCCAGCTGGACAGGCT